TGGTCACTATTTAGGGGTGGAATTCAATCACATCTCCGTAGATTCAGGCTGCGCCATGTAAGCTGATTTAGAGCTCTGGCAAAAACAAACACGCTTCCCCCAAAATATTGGACTTTTTCTGAAAAGGGATGAGAAAATGCACTGCTAAGACTGGGGTAACACTTGCTTGACGCAACCTTGGCTAATCTCTCCGCAAACAAATCAGGCTGAATGCTCATTAAGCAGGTCATCCGTAAGCGACCGGAATTTACTCCAAAAACAGACCCACTGGAAGAGTCGCCTTTGCAAGAGCAGAGTTGGCTTGCTAGTGTGTCAACAGGGCACAAGCAGAACAGAATCAAACACTCAGCCTTACCACCATTAAAGTGACTCACAGGAAGAGATGGGAAACTTAGAATTTATCATTTTTTTGCTCCAGAGCAAAGACAACAAATGTGAACCTCCACATATCTCAAAACCTCCAGCCTGGCTCTCAAAAAAACAGGTTAGAGGTCCTGTAAACAAATTTCCTCATTGTGTTTCTAAAACTCATATAGAGGTCTGGTTTGCAAGAAACACAAAGTCAAGCCAAGGACTGGCATGAACAAGGCAATAATGTGTGGGCTCCTGGAGACACCGCAGCCACTTTGCTATTTATGCCCCAATCCTTTTGCTGCTGTGCTATGCTGAGCAAAAGTGCGGTTATGCTTAGTGTGTAATCAAAACCCAGGCTTGTGGTTTAGCTTTCTCCAAACAAACCATAAACTAGAACCAAGGTTTGTCCTATGGTTTACAGCTTGTGATTTGTCTAGAGAGAGCCAAGTAATAAAATAATAAATAATAAAATTATTATTACTAAATTATTGTTAAAATTATTTAACACAAGGCTAGGTTTGGAAGAGATCCTAAAGCAAAAAAGGCTTGCGTTAGTGCAGCAACAGAACACTAGGGTGTAGCAAAGGAGCCATTATATCGCCTCTGGGAGCCCACACTTTTGCTCTTTCAATTCTTCCACCCATGTGAATTAAATTCACCACTCTTCCATATCTATATAAGGCTTTAAAAAATCCACAACAATGCCAGCCCATGGGTTTAATGTCACAACGCTATCAGTGATAAAAGGAATAGAGTTGTCTCCCTGTCTGCAGAGCCTTTCAGCGGCAACTAATACAGAGGCATTTGGGAGTAAGGCCCATAGATTTTCGTTAGAGACTTCAGTAAAAGAAAAAAAGCAATGAGAACAAACATGATCATGCTGGAGCCTCTTTGGCAAGCATAATTAACTTCTTTCAATAATTTTGAACCTTAAATGAACTGCTGTCTTGTTTCAAAGCCCCAGGCCGGTGGATGTTTATGCCTTTGGGAGCTGTAGTGGAGGATTTTAAAAATATAATCACACCCAAAGCTTTCAATGGGTTTAATCTCCATGAGAGGCCATCTGTTAAGAGCCAGAATGAGGTCAATCTGGAGTCCAAGAGTGACTTCCCAAGGAACCAACCAGGCATTTATTGGCTACATGTGAACTGCATCATTGGTTGCTTCCTGAGGACCTGTTCACTTGAGCATTCATCCCGATTTGTTTGCGCAATGTATGCATGGAGGTTCAGCAACATCAGTTGTTCATTGAACATTCATTCCCCTTTGATTGCAGGGAAGTTATACGACACTCCATCAAGAAATTGTTATCCCACAATTCCCCATGGCCACCAGAAGTCCAATCTGTCTGGAGACACAGGCTTGCTGTGCAAGAGCACCAAATCAAAATGAATTATGCAACCTGAATTTGCCAGTTTGCAACTGAATCCCACCCTAAAATAGTGTAAAAACCCACTGAGTCAAGGCTGCAAGCATTGGGGAAGGCACCACTTTATCTAGCTTGTCTCAGATGCCCAACAAAATGACCTTGTCTGGCTGTCCTTGCATGGCCCCCCAAAATACACCATCTTCATTCTGGGTTACCCAGAACGTGATCTTCCTCTACTAATGCTGCCCAACAGGGAGGCACACTCCCTCCTCACGGGTCTCTTCAGTAGGACTTCAAATCCCCTCTCAGCCATGATGTTCCCCTGGGTGATCTTGGACCCGTCTCTATACATCAGCCTAACCAACTTCAGTGCTTTATAACTTGTTCATAAATGACGTGGAGTTTAGGGGTGAGCAGTGAGTTGGTCAACTTTGCTGATGACACATTTAGGGGAGCAAAAAAAAAACAAGGAACAGCACAGAGGATTCCTCCAAACTGGGGGAAATGGACATTAAAATGGAAAACGGGTTCATAGGAACCAAATGCAAATGGATCTATTCTGGGGCATAAAACCCCAACCTCACCTGCACACTGATGGGGTAAGAGTTGGCAGGGACAGACCAGAAAGGGGTCTCTGGGTTTGGTTTGATCTAGCAGGGCTCTTCTTACATTCTAACTTCATTCTGAGGGGGGCAGAAGAGAACCACCTATTCTCCATGGAATTCCTTGGGGGGGGGCAGGAAGGAAAGATACAAAAAAAATCTAGTTTGCTGGCACTTGATGCAGGGGCATAACCCATCTTCTATTCTAGTTCCCATGGGAGTCTTCTTTTGTTCTTTAAGTGTGCTGTGTACATGGAAGGTGTCAAACGGATTGTCATTCGCTGGGATCAAGTGCCAAACTTGCCCGAGAGCTGCTTCCTGCCAAAAGCAAAGCAGGAACAAACAGGCGCAGTGGCAGGTCGAGGGGAGGAGACGGCGCTGTTGCCATTTCCTCTCCCTTGCGGCTTTTTGTCAAAGTCAGCTGCAGCTCAAAATGTGGTCAGTCCTCTCCAGAAATGTTCCGGCTAAGGCTGCTGCTTAAAGCGATGAAGCAAAAGGGCAGATTTCCTAACTCTACGGCTTTGCAGCAATTTGAGGGCTGCAAAACCTTGAAAGGCCCAGGAGCTTGTTGATGACCACAACCATCGCAACAGAATACAGAATGGCCAGCAGTGATTGTGATAGCCGTCAGTTATACTGCCGCCATCTCCTGCAAAACTCAGCTTCCCGTGGTCTGGTTCACACACACAGCCAGGTAGCTGAAAATACAGTGTACATGCTGGAAAAGCAGGTACACATCACCCACCCAACCACCATAGGTGTGAGACAATGCGCAGTGTGGCACTACACACAGTGTCCAATTCATACAGGACTTCCCAAACGGTGAAGTGAAACAGCACAAATTAGGAATGTACCATATGGCTGTACAGTGGTGCCTCGGGTTACAGACACTTCAGGTTACAGACGCTTCAGGTTACAGACTCCGCTAAACCAGAAAAAGTGCTTCAGGTTAAGAACTTTGCTTCAGGATGAGAACAGAAATCGTGCTCTGGCAGTGCAGCAGCAGCAGCAGCAGGAGGCCTCATTAGCTAAAGTGGTACCTCAGGTTAAGAACAGTTTCAGGTTAAGAACGGACCTCAAGAACGAATTAAGTTCTTAACCTGAGGTACCACTGTATATGCACTGTGCAGGCATTACACATTGCCTCAGGGGAGGGGGCTTTTCTGTATGGAGTCTCACGTAGTCTATGGCTAGGCAAGTGTGTGAACCAGCATTATGTCCCCCAAATTAAGTATTCAAAGTTTCTTGCTCTGTTACCCAGTGCAAAGAGAGTGAGGAAAGGGTATGGGGAAACACGCCGAGTGAGGAATGCATAATGAAATCTCAGCAACTACACAGGAATTGGTGGCATTAAGAGGAACCAACAGCAAGACTTCCACTGGTTAGAAGTTAGTTTCAATGTCCCCAAGAGCTCTTTGCTTCCACGCTTATCAGATGATGGGAAAGACATCTGCCCGAGACCACAGGGCTGCCAGTCAGAGTAGACAATACTGGTCTTGTGGGACAATTAGCCTGACCTGGTATCAGGCAGTTTCTTCTCTACCTCTGGTTACTTTTACCTTGCTCCAACAGTCCTGTTTTCCCGAGTCTTCTCTATAGTGCCCTCCCTTGCTAAACAACCAATTCAAGTTCTTTGAAAAGTTTCATACTGAAAGTGGAACAAGATACTCCAAGGTAAGCAAAGGCATGCCATGCAAATTGTTTTTCATTTATTCCAATTGCAGTAGCTGGATTTTCTTCACAGGAAATTAATGTATTGGGGGGAATTGGATTTTATTTTTATTTTTTGGCAGAGTGTATGTACAACCTCTGCCACTTCTTTTTAACAGTCACATGCCTCTATAACAAGACACCCAAGTAGGTGAGTAGGGAAAATCCCATTAACCTCATCCGCCAGAGGTACTTCACTCTTCTTACCATTGCATAGACTAAACCAAACTAAACATTTTGTTCACTTAAACCCATCCAGCTCCCTCTCCTGATGTTTTTAGATCAATGCAAATCTAACTAATGCCTCCAACTGAGAACCGAACACTGTCAAGATATTCCTTTCCCAAGGTCAACCAAGCAGCCTGATGCACAGCAACTCCAGATGCTGTAAACAAGAGTCTCCTTCAGATGCTGCAACAAAATCACAGCCCAGGTCTGGACTACAACTCCAGTACCGATGGCAGCTGCAGTCAAAATCACCTGGCAGGTACCGGTCTGGCCCCAGGGCTGTTTTAGTCCAATTGAGCACTCACTTACAACCTTCCGACATAATCCCTGAGGAGTGAAGGAAGTGTCCATTTGGCTGCTTAAAGAAGGGCATATTCACTTGAAAGGATAATTTCAAGATTGCCCAGAAACGTGTACTTGTTTTTTTTTATTAACCCTGCAACCATCACAGCACAAGGAAAACCACAGGTCATTTTGCCCCAATTTAAACTGGTTATCAGCTACTACTGCTGAATGAAGCAACAGTTACCGTACCCCCAAGAAGCAGAGAGCTACAAAAGCACTTTCCTTAGGGTGTTAGAAAGGTGAGAGAAAGCTTTTCCATTGAATGAATGCACCCCACAAGGCTTTTTAACACAGCATAGTAGTGACATAGGGATACCTGCAATGAGCTTCCAGGCTCGCTGCGCTAAATCCACCCCCCTCTCTTACACAGAAAGCCAGGCTTATTCCCTTACCTGTTGTGTTTGGAGGGGTGTCCAAGATCGTTTTCAGAAGCTTCATGTCCTTAATGTTATGGATATAAATAGATTCCTCCAAGCAAACAATTAGTCTCTGCAAATACAAAAAAAAGCACAAGTTGTTGCTTAGGAATAAGATAGGCCTCAAAACATTCCATCAGCACATGCCAGTTGCACTGGGAAGGTTCACAGACTGGCTCGGACTATCTACTTGGGAGAAAAGGCATCAGGTGTTCACAACAAACAGAAAGAGATATGATCTCTGCTGAACTTGGTTTGGCCAAGAAAAATTATCTTAATCACTAAGATAAACTACTGTTTGCACTAAAGGAAGATATAGAAGCAAAGTGATAGAGGGAGATCTGTCAGCTTAAAACAGATTACATTTCACCTCTTTTTCCCAAATCTTCCAGCACTAAAACAGTAGCGTATTCCAGAAGCTAAGGTACAACTCTCTATTACATCTGCCTGAATGGCCCTCCACCTGGAATAAATGCCATTCCCCTAAAATCACATCCGCTCAAAAAGGTGGAATTTGAAAAAACTTCAGTAAGGGTACCAGAGCTTATTTAAACGTTACATTTTTAGTGTGTGTCCTACAAGCTGAAAGATAGCATTTGGTATTTAAAAACATGAGCTTGAGATAACCGGATACAGCACCTAGCATTTATCAATAATGATGATGGTTCAGGCTGCAATCCTATGCTCACTTACCGAAGAGTAAGTCAATTGGGCTTACTTTTGTAGAGACACAAAGTGCTTTAGCTGTCATATTCTTCCAGGTGTCAAGATAATGTGCACAGCATTAACCATTATCTAACTGGCTGGAAAGTTATGCTCCCATCCACACCTCTTGCAGCGGTGACCACCAATACTAAGTTTGAAATCCTACACTTACTTGGGAATTCAATGGCAGCTACATCTGATGGGCCACGCATAAGATTGCAGCGCACAGCCACTGAACAGGAGAGAAGAAGCCAATGATAACATATTCCCAAAGTGCAAACAAAAAGGTCTTGTTTCTTTGAGGAAACAGCCTTGGACCTGGGAAACAGGAGCAAGACCTCATCTCTGACAAGTTGCTCCTGTATCTGGCATAAACCAAGATTAAAGATGTAGTTGGCCAATCAGCTTTTGCCAATGAAAACTGTGCCTGTGCTCTGAAGGGGTTATTTATGTAGAAGGTATTTTAAAAACAGGGGAAAACTGAGCACCCAAAATAATGCCAGTGTATTACCAGAAGCTCCGAGGCCCCAGACAGTGAAAAAGTGATATTTCTAATAAGAACTTCATCACAGGTGTTGATCATTTATTTGAAACCAGGATTTTAGAATTAAAAACTTACTTTGATTTCTTTCTTTTTTTAACTTGAGGAATAGCCTTTGCTACTTGAAGCCAAGGCTTCTCTGCTTTTTGAGAATATAGAATCTGCTCTGCTCTTTCTAGCTACAGAATCCCAAGCATAGCATTGCCAAGTGGTCACACTGAGTCATTTCGGTAATGCCTTCCAGACAGAAAATCCATGCACCTCATACTTAATGCTAGGAAAACAGAAGAGTTTGCACCATGCCTATCGTTGAAGATATTCCCTGGCAACCGTAAGATGAGCCCTGCAGGATCAAGCCCATCCGGTCCAGCACTCTGTTCTCACAGTGACCAACCAAATACTCATGAAAAGCTCGCAAACGGAAGCTGAGCACAACTGCTATTTAGAGGCACATACTGTTACTGACCATGGAAGCTGAAAACCTGGTGGCGACTTTCATGAACTGTGGCATACATGGTAGTCGAGCTTCTAGCATTGAGTTTTTAAACCACTCCCAAGTGTTTTGGAGAAATTTGACTCTTGACTTTCCCTTTCAACTTCCTCTGCACCAACTCCTTCATTTTGGGAAAGTTTCCTCTTCGTGACGTCTTTAATGATAGCTGCCAGCTTTGAATTTTCTAACTTGGAATTATAATTACATAGCTTTCACAACTTCCTATAAAAGCAAAGTCCTCAACTACCTGTTTTGTCTTTTAAAGCCTGCTGTTAACTCCTAAAAACAAATCTTTATCTTACATACATTTCCTCTTCAGGATGAGCACTTTAACCTTTCTTTTTGTCTCTGCCATGAACCCTTCACACACCTGTTGCAATTGCAGTGTACCTATCTTTAAAGGGGGCGGGGGCTGAGCAAATATGTACACACAAGTGTACATAGCACAGAGTGTGCAGTGACCACCGAGGGCTGTGAACAGCACAAAGAGTTCAAAACAAATCTCCTGTGTTGACACCCAGCCGAGGATCTATTTTACTGGTGACACAACACCACTGATGTGGAAGGAGGCCCTGATCCCCGGTGCTCTTACACCTGCATGCTAATTAACAGGTTCAAGTAAGGCTCTGATTCAAATTCACAAGAAACCAGCCATTACTCCAGAACTGTGACCTGCACATACATATGCATGTTTAAGTAAGGATGTTTGTTTTGGACAATAGGAATCAACTGAGTGGAGTACCTTCCCCGTTAGGAAATGCTAATAAATTTGAGGCTTTTCAATTCAGGGCCGACAGGGTGGGTGAGAAGACAACCGAGGGAGCAAGGCATAATATTCATAAAATTCAATGTAGCATGGAGGGAGTGAATAGAGACATTTTCCTCTTACAGTCACAGAGCGAGCATCTTTGGCAGGAGATTCAGACAGAAGGAAGTACATGCAACATATTATTAACCGATTTGGTGATGGCTACAAGCTAGATTTAGAAAGGATAAAGCTCATTGAAGCTGGATCCATCAATAGCATGATTGATAAATGGAACCTCCATGTTCAAAGTATACCTGAGGTTACCAGATGTTCAGGACAAACAGTGAAAGACCACCATCTTTATGCCCTGCTTGCGAACTTCCTAGAGGCTTCTGGTTAGCCACTGTTTGAAATACTGGTTTTAAGTAGGCCTTCAGTCCCTTACAGCAAGACAGTTCCTTGATGTTCTACAGCACAACCACCACTGAATACAATGTCAGCACATACGGGTGTAAGCTGAATCACTCTGCACTTCTAGCCAGGGCAATAGAGAAGCCTCAGAGACACTTTGTCAAAAGCCAGGAGCTACACTGCTGACAACCAGTGGCCAAGATGCAACCCAACAAGGATTAGTAGCAGAACCTCTGCTCCAAAGGAATCTGCTATATTCACATTTCTGGGGTGGTGGTTAGTTCTTCCCACCAGTCGAAACCTCTCACCACTTGGAAACCAAAGCATAGTTTTGCCAACATGTGCAACTAATAACTGTGCTGGAACCCAGGAGCTTTATTGAAAACGATTCTTCCATTTTCAAAACTAAGGTTTTCCACTAAGGAGTCCAATCAAGAAAAATAACAGCACACGCACAGAGAAACAAACTTTGCTCTTATGAAGGTTTTGTAAAGTAAGAACCAGAGCCAGGCTGGGCTAAGGCAGTTCCTGCTTCCTAAATCATGCAATGATGCTGCAATGTAAAGAAGATGGGTAGACTGCAAATGGCAAGGGATGGTGGTGAGGCTTGGAGTCTGGCAATGTTCCCCGACCCTGAGTTAAAAGGAGTACTTTATTGGGGGGGGGGGGGAGATGGATAACTACTTGCAATCCAAGAGGAATAGTTCTTCTGAAAGGGATGTAGCAAGACTAAGACACAAACAGTATGAGCAAGAAAATTCAGATCACACATCTTTATGACTTGAGAGTGAGCCAGGTCCCTAACCTCTTACCTGCCGATTGAGCCGGACAGAGAGGATATTGCTAGAGTAACTGTAGTTACAGATTTCGGTCCCTTTCTTGAAATGGTAGACGTTCATCTGCCGAGGCTTTGTGCGACTCACCACCACCACCAGGCTGCTAGAGAAGAGGCGCTCTACGATGTAAACATCCGGGATTTCATCTGTGGGGTGAAATGAAAAGAGATGGAAAAGCTCTTGCTAAGGGGAGGAGAATCATATATGCAAAAGGGCAAAATGCTGAGTCATCAACTGTTTTCCAAAGATTAGCCTTCGCTCTCGGAACTTCGCATAGGTCACGTTCAGGGAATAGGGAAGTCAGAGGCAAATGGCTCATCTCCAGAAGGAATTTACAATCAGCTTCTTTTACGGTATCTGTATGATGCTAACTTGAAAAGCCAGTTCTCCTACTATGAGAGGGGTGTGTGGTATAATAAGCTCTTATAATACTTTTTTTTCTTCCTCCTAGTTTAGGGGACATGCACCCCAACAAAAAGGGGAAAGGTGAATTGCCCAAGGCAAGCTGATAAAATAAGACAACCTCCCTGGAGATAGAAGGCTCTGTCAAGTGGGAGGAAACAAAATGGGTTTCCAGACGGAAGGGACAAGATGTACATAATCTCATCCCTTACCTATTTGACAGCCACAGTTGGAAGGGATGACCCGTCCTTCCTGAAGGCTGAAACTAGAGAAAAGGGGGAAATTTCCAGGCCAGTGGACACAGTATTAGATTATAAAGTTCTCTTCCTGGCCCCAGTCCCAAAGTCAACCTGCACCCAAGCTATCTCTGCTAACAGCTGCTTAGTCGCATGAGCCAAACAAGCAGGGTTTTTTTTTACAATCTTACACAGACTGTGTGAGTTCAAATGTCTGCTTAATGCAACAGAAATGTTGCGGGACACCATAAAAGAATTACAGAATGCAAAAAGTACATCTTCACACAACTTGTAGCCTCTTTGTTCAGGCTTTGGGGGAAGGGGTACTTTGAATTGGATTTTTATTGCTGCTGCTCTATTTGTGTGAAATTTATGTTGTCCTTTTACAATCTTCTTTTTACTTTATTTTTTTGTATTGTATTAAGGCCTGGATGGCCTTAAAAGGAGATTTAGATATTTCTGTAGATCTCCCTGCCTACCCTTCAACTGGAATAACAATAGGCTGCTTTGGACATAGTGCTAAACCATGGTTTAGCATTACAAAAATGAATTGCAGTGAGCCTCAGGTGCATGCGCTTCCTTCTCCTTCTCCACCAAGGCCACAACCCTTTTGCTTCCGTTTTAGATTAACTGCAGCTTGCTACGTGGTCCAAACCTACACATGAACACATTAACCTTAACTATTGTTAATGGAAACAAGTCAACTTCAAACCATAGTTTATGAAGCTGGCTTGATTCCGCTAGCAGTAATTAAGTTTAACCAGTCTAATCACAGACAACACATTTCACTGAAGTAAATCTAAAATGGGAGTTTCCCATCTCCTCTTTACAGTCACAACAGAGAAGGGGAGGGTGTTTGTACAAGAGCCCAAGAGTCACACAGGCTTTTTCTCAAAACATTAAACCATGGTTTACTTTGGCATCCAATGGCAGCTATAATGGAGACATATAATATATGCATGCAATCTATACCCATTTAATTATCTAAATAATGTAATTGAGAGTAGGATCCACTGAACATAGTGAGATTTACATCTGCGTAAATATGCATAAGGGTGCGGGTGGCGCTGTGGGTTAAACCACAGAGCCTAGGCCTTGCCAATCAGAAGGTCGGCGGTTCAAATCCCCGTGACGGAGTGAGCTCCTGTTATTCGGTCCCAGCTCCTGCCCACCAAGCAGTTCGAAAGCACGTCAAAGTGCAAGTAGATAAATAGGTACCGCTCTGGCGGGAAGATAAACGGCGTTTCCGTGCGCTGCTCTGATTCGCCAGAAGCAACTTAGTCATGCTGGCCACATGACCCGGAAGCTGTCTGCGGACAAACACCAGCTCCCTCGGCCTATAGAGCGAGATGAGCGCCACAACCCCAGAGTCGTCCGCGACTGGACCTAATGGTCAGGGGTCCCTTTACCTTTAAGTATGCAAAGGGTCAGGCTATAACTGAAAGTGGTAGAAATATGGATCTTCCTATATGCAAAGTTTTTTAAAAAAAACAGCTGAAGAGAAAAATTATCATCAACCGTATTTGTGACTGCAGGAAAGGACAGGAGAGGTGGGATTTCAGCAGTGTTGTGGAAGGAGCAGCTGAATTATTTACTTGTGGCTCAAAAAAACACACAAAAAACTGGCAGGTCAGGTTGCCCTGAAGTACATTGTCACAATCTGGTCACAGAGTGCTACCCAAGGACACAGTTCAGCATAGTTTTAAACTGACCTGTAATAACTGGGCAGACCTTGGCTGACAAATGTATATCTTTGTGTTGCTAAGTTGCATTAGATCATGCAGCCAAATGGAAGCCTTTTTAAAAAGAGGTATTTAAAGTGAAACGCTAATGACAGCAACCACAGCGCAGGATGTGTATTTCATTTAAATGGAAAGCTGATCTTTGCCCCTTTGTTTCGAATTTCTAATCTTGTTTAAGCACTTCTAAGTACGCTTTATAAAATCATTTCCCTGCCGCGTTTGCAACCCGAACCATGCCCGTGACTACGAGCTCTTCAAAAAGAATGTGGTTCTGTGGCATACAAAGCAAAGGCCACTTTAGGCTGTTAATGGAAACATAATATTCCAAGTGCCTGAAAACACAGCTTTACTCCTCTCTACGATGACCTCATGGAAACACTGAACCTTGAGCAAAGGAGGCTTGAAGGTTGCGGGGGTGGGGGCAGGGGTGTGTGGCAGCGAGATTAAGCAAAAACATGTGGGCAATTTTGAAATATATGGAGGAAAACACCTGACCCAGCCAAGGGTTAACATTTTTAAGTCATTCATTTCAGCACTTATATAATAATTTCCATTGATATTAAAGTGATAAAGCCACTTGATCATGCCTACCATCAGCAATAGGGGGACCAGCTATACACCAAAGGAAAGCAGAAAAGGCAATGGGTTTGAACTACAGAATGATAGGCTTGGGTTAAAAAGAAGGAAACTGTCCCGTCTATATCACTCAACATTGGGTGGGAGGAGGCAGAGTTGAGGTGACAACAAGAGTCTCTTATTTGAAGGCTTTCAAGGAGAGGATGCTTGACAAAAGGCTGGTCTTGAGCTTCAATGGCATGTTTTGCAGCCAGTTCTCTGCTGTCACCTATGATGAACCAAACGGGGCGAAGGGGCAGGTCAACCCTGAATACCCTGAGAATGACAATCTATTTGCAGGGTGGCAGCGAGGGAGATTCCATGCTGGATATCCCAGTGATTGATCCCTGTGCTTTTGGTTGGGTCACTGAAATATTAATTCAAATCACACTGATCATTTTTTTAAAAAAGCAGCTCAACAGCATCACTTATGGAAGAGCTAGGGAAGCATTTCAAGAGACCCACGAAGATCACATTCTGGATCTGCATGTAACATAGAATCATAGAATTGTAGAGTTGGAAGGGACCCTGAGGATCATCTATTCTAACCCCCTGCAATAGCAAGAATATGCAGCTGTCCCATATGGGGACCAAACTCACAACCTTGGCATTATCAGCACCATGGTCTAACCAACTGAGCTATCCGGACTTCACATAGGTTACTGTGGGCCAGCTGGGCTGCCTTTAGGAATAGAAAGGTCATTGTTTCACATCGAAGCTTCCCCCCCTAAATTCTCAGACTCTCTACTGCAACGCACAACTGCGTTTTCCCAGTAGTGATCACGCCTTTTTACTTTGGAGATACAGCTCTGGATATTTGAAAACGTTGGCTCGATCCCCACAAGTCAGTGAAGATTGCACAGCTGTGCATTTAATTTGCTCCAACTCACAGCAGAATGATTGGGACTGAACTACTAATGCAAATAGGCTCAAGACTGCTTTAGATTCATACTGGTGTCCAAAACAAGGAAGAATCTCCACCACTGTTTTATGCTGTCTTTGTGGGCAACTGTCCCTTTAACGCAGCTGCATCTAGTGCAGTTTGAACACAAGCAAGGCTGCAGCCAAGATATGCCATCTGTTTTCTAGCAGGAATGATAAAATGGAATTGCTCCATTGAGGCAGATTAAAGTGCTGTAATGCAGGATAATGCCTGTCATCAGCCAATATTTTGTTGTATCAAAACAGAATGGACTTACTGCTTTCATGGACCTGATCCAGCTGCTCCACAGAACTCAAGGAAAAAAGCCTGTACCCAGTTCTGGTTCCAATAGCCAGGGAACTGCAAAAGATAATATAAGCACTGATTACGTCAAAGCTTGGCACATTCTGAACCAGAAGGCTTGTTTGGCAATAGGAAAATTGGATCTGATGGGTTTGACGGCAAGATTAGGGAAGAGACCTATGGGTTAAGGAACTCATTCAGAAAGGTGCCTACGGTTACAAGTCTAAAAATCTTACCTCTCAGCTAAAAGGTTACAAGCTACTTACAAAAACCAAGGAAGATTTAGAGAAAGGAACAGCACTGCCCAAGCCCTAAGAAGCCAACAGGGACCCAGATGTGGAAGTACTCAGAACAGGGAGCGGGGATACTATGACGAGAGACTAACCCATGAGCATGCAGAACCAACTGGAAGGGTGAAAATTAAGAAACTTTAGAAGTTTACCTGGGATAATAAGGGCTTGTATTAGGGAGAGGAAGCAGAAGCACATCTGTACTTAAGATGATACAGGGTAGCAAGCAGATGTGCAAATATTACACACATCACAGCCATTATTATTTGTATAGATTTGTAAGTCATCTATACATAATTTAAAGAACAGTAAAAGAGTGGAGCGACAAGTCCCTGCTCCAAGGAGCATACAATCTAAATTAAAACTGCAGGTGGGTAGCTGGAAGAGACAATGATAATGACACTGAATGGAACCAGATGCAGCAAATGGTACTTAAGATTTTGCTTCAGCTGTGGCTTAAAAACCTAAAGCACAGCTGTGGCACCTGTAGGGTTATAGGTCCCGTAAGTTCCAGACAGCATGGCCAATCATCAGTAATGTACAGGTGATGAGCCCCTGTGCCTCTTCTCCACCGGGAGAAGGCGGCTGGTTTGCTCAACATATACATATTTATTACATTTATATCCTACCTTTCTTCCACAGAGCTCGGCAGTGTACACAGAGCTCTCAAGTATATTAAGTTCATAGGCAGCATCCCATCCAGAAATTGAAAAGCAAGTGGCAGAAAGTTTGCAGAATCGTGTGCCATCAGACCGTAATAACCGTGTGCCTGCACGTTATGTATTTACGTGACCAATGAAACTATCAGATGACAGTTCTGCAACAGTTGGCTTGCCCTGCCAAATGTACACAGAGCAGGTACAAAGCATTACATTTAACTGCTGTCATGCTGACTTGCTTGATCTAAGCAGTTGTACATGTCAATGTTTCATTCGCGATTACCTTAAAATATCCTAAAATAAAGACGACACATTTGCGTATAACATACAAGCGCCCCTATCAGTTTTCTTCCAATGCTCTTTGTTCAAATGCTCAACAAGCAAATTTTCACACATATACACACACACTTGCTAACTAGCACGCTTTCTACTTTGCCTCCCACACCTGTCGGATATATTGACATATGCAAGCTAATCTTCCTACCTTTCCTGACTAGTGGCTGAAGTTGTGAATGAGTAGGCAATTAGGAGACTGAAGAAGAGAGGCATAACAAAATGCATAAGAAGGAGCAATCCTAAACCCAAATGAATACAGTGGGTTTTACTTCCAACTAAACATGCATAGAATTAGAATGTTAATCTGTCAACAGAGAGTTTATGACTGCAATCCTAAGCACACCTAACTAGGAGTAAGCCCCACTGAACTCAGTAGGACCTACTTTTTAGTAGACACGGTTACAATTCCACCAAGATTTTCCCCATCCCTGGGCTGAAGATGGTAATAGCAATGGGATCCAATGAACAGAGAAATCCTACCTTACATCAACTAAGGTGAAAGGAGAAGATCTGCTGGCAGAGTAATTGCCACATCCTCTCCCCCCACCTCACTGTGGGCCGGGAATTACCGTATTTTTCGCCCTATAGGACGCACTTTTCCCCCCTCCAAAATGAAGGGGAAATGTGTGTGCATCCTATGGGGCGAATGCAGGCTTTCGCTGAAGCCTGGAGAGCGAGAGGGGTCAGTGCGCACCGACCCCTCTCGCTCTCCAGGCTTCAGGAAGCTATCCGCAAGCCTTGCAAGCCCGGCAGGAGTTCCCGCAGGCTCGCAAGGCTTGTGGGCAGTAGCCTGCAGCCCACAAGCTTGGGGGACAGTTCCCCGACCTGGTTTGAAGGCTGGTGCTGGGGAGAAGCGCGCTTCTCCCCAGCGCCAGCCCCACAAGCTTGGGGGACAGCGGGGAGCATTGGATCCCATTGCTATTACCATCTTCAGCCCAGGGATGGGGAAAATCTTTTCCTTTATTCCCCCCCCCCAAAAAAACTAGGTGTGTCCTATGGGCCGGTGCGCCCTATGGGACGAAAAATACGGTAACTACCCTAGCACCTTAGTTCCAGAGGTATATCAAGGGAACAAAGAGGCTTAGGATGCGACATCTCTGTTCCCACCTCAGATGCATACTGTTTCTCCCTGCTCCACCAATGGGAACTCCTATTCCAGCAGAGCTTTCCACATGTGGGCCAGAGGACATCTAGTGGGATGTTGACCTGCTAGCCTACTTCCATCTCTGCTGGCAGAGCAGGACTTAGCTTCCTGAGGCACCTCAGCTGGCTAGCCAGTGTGAGTCAGATTGCTCCCTTAGCTGATAGAGATACTTACTGGAATAAGGTGAGATTTGGGCTTCAGAGTCAACCCAAGCAGGTAGGTAATGAAAGCAAAATAGGCAAAATGCTGTCTTCTAATGTTTGGCAGCTCGCTTGCTTGTTACTTCCCCTACCCCAAACTATAAGACACAGGCATTACATTTGTATATTAGTTAAGAGACATCTTTCTGTCTCTTTCCAAATAACCCACATTTAACTTCCAATATAATTTAGCTGATACTTCTTTATCTACCTGGTTTTACATTTCTAAACATAGAGATTTTGTGTGTTTGCATATAAAGTGACACGCAGGTACTGCTGATCTTTTCCATAATCCTCATTTCCCCACTTGGCCATAGATTCAAATCCCAAAGCCCCCACTCAAGACTTGCCACTGACCTATGCTAGTCCTCAGCCTTTTTCCACTCACAATAGGGTGAAAGGTAGGCACAAAAATAAATGCAACTTCACTTCTCAGAATAAATGTGCACTGGTTCTTTAGCACACCAGCAACCCAAACCCCGGACAAACAATTCCATTGGGATCTGAATGGCACCATTATATAGCAATTTGCAACCTGGCAGGCATGAATCAGATATAAATAAGAGAAGCAAACCTGTAAAGCAGGAAATGTGACACAAGAGAGAATTAAAACACTGCAATGGCCTTTCAAGTAGTTCTAGAGAAACACAGTTCTAGAATGGCATAACAAGGGAGGCTGCCAGATACTGATGACATTGGGTATATTGTGAAAGCTGTCACTCAGAATTATCTGAGCAGGAAGGGAAGGGATGTTGCTCCACCATTCTGTTTCCCAGAAAGTTAGAGCATATTCTGAGTTCAGGTCTTTATCAGCCCCATTCTGTTATTTAGCATTTGTTAGGGCAAAGAGTACTAAGATTAGACACAACCTATAAAAAACCTAATTTAATACAACCATTCCACCAGGCAGGTAGAGAGGGCTGTTTTTCTGAATGTTTCCCCAATATCCAAGAAAAGCTACACATGGAAACCCAGTTGCCAGGGGAAAACCTTCTGACCCCCAAACTACCCAGTCTAGCCATCCCCCTCATACTACTGCCCTTAGGTACAGGAAGTTTTATGTTTGGGACCATTCAAACATTCAGCCTTTGTCTTGCAGTCTAAAATGGCACAGCCCAGGATGGATATTTCTATCTTATGTAAATTTCCTCCAAAACGTCGGCTCACATGAAGGGCTGCAGAGGTAGCTTTACTTCTATTATTAGAAGCTGTAGATCTTAGGTACTGCACAGAATGGAATCAGTAACAGAAGGATCCTTAGTTTAAAAAAGTTATGGGGGAGATAGGGACTAGCTATGTCTCACGTTCATTTACTGACGCTCCAAATATGGGAGCAGGACCATCAACGTTTAGACAAGAGCAAAGTTCATCTGCTACTGATGACACTCCCTGTCTCATTTTCCAACTTCTTACCTTCTGCCCTGGTATTTCATGCCTGGAACAATCTCTTCACATTTTTTGAAGCACTTGCTTCTTTCCTTTTAATTTCCTCCTCACAATCCACTTCTTCAGCAAAGCCTTTTTTTGACTCTCTTCTAGACTTACCTCACATGCACTTTTTCAGCTACCAGATTCTCCTTTCCCACCCACATCTAAAATGTAAACTGTCCTGACCTCTTCTTCTCTACTTTTATCTTCTCCATCCAATGTAGCTTTTGGTTAGGGGTTGTGTTGCTCCCCTGCCCCAATACTATACGGATGCCTGATTATCGTCTTCCAAAGCAACTATTCTATTCCGAACTTAAAAATGGAAAGCGCAATGCTGGTGGTCAACAAAAGAGGTTTAAAGACGCTCTCAAGGCAAATCTAAAAAAATGTAGTATATACACCGACAACTGTGAAACACTGGCCTGCGAGCGCTCCAATTGGAGAACAGACTTTACCAAAAGTGTCGTGGGCTTTGAAGACACTCGAACCCAGGACGAAAGGGAGAAACGTGCCAAGAGGAAGGCACATTTGGCAAACCCTCACTATGATCAACTCCCGCCCGGAAACCTATTTCCCCATTGTGGAAGGACGTGTGGATCCAGAATTGGTCTCCACTGTCACTTACGGACTCACTGTTAAAACCGTGTTTATGGAATACAATCTTAATCAGCTAGGAATGATCGCCAAAGAAGACGACGACGACTGCTATACAGCACTCAGCAGATGCAAAGTAAGAGTCAAATAGCAGTAGTAACATTGATGCTGTGGCATAGCTTCGGAGTGTGTTATGTTTAGGTTCTAAGTCTCCCATTTGCTATGGTTTTACTGAGTGGTTTTGGTCAAGTCAGAGTCAGTTCTCCATCTGTAAAATGGGAATGAAAGTGAGCCAGGTTATATTACTGCTCCATACAAGCCAGGATTAAAAGCAAGATTTAAACTAGGGCTTTGAAGTTGGCTCATTTGGAAGCTCTTAATCATAAATTCCAGGTTTAGACTGAACAATAATCTATTATTATGTTTGGAATCCTGGTGGGGTTTTTTTGCTACTCGCACAAAGGGGAAGAGTAAAGTGGCAAAAAGGGGCTGCATGCAGGTGAAAGCCACTTGCACATATTCCGACTCATGAAGGACTGAAAGCTTAGCATGATGTCCGAATGTGGCAGATGTCGCACAGGGATGTTCCATCTAACAATTAGCATGCTCATGCAGAAGCCCAGCCTAGTTTATTGGGCTCTAATTCACCTTGGAAACCTTAATTTGTCCTGAAGCAGGCGCATCTGGAAGCCAGATGGGCAGACACAAGAGACTTTTAATTTGTGGTGCCTCTATGCCAAAGAGAAGGAGTCTTTCCCATTCAGAAGACAGTGCTTCCACTAAGATTTTACACATTTTGGCTGAAAATTATTTAACCTATGATTTGTTTATAGAAAGGGTTTACATACCATGTCACATGACTGGCTTTTCTGACCCTCCGTGACCACAGGAAATAAACTTCTAATTATCAAATGCCTGGAGACAAACAGGGGTTAGCTAGCTTCTCTATGACATAGTTTGAACTTCCAGAGACACTGATCTGGGCAGTATTGGAGACAGACCGCTGAATTAATGGACCTTTAATCTGATCCAACAAGGCAATGCCTTTTCTTAGAGTTCCCTTCCTCAGCTTAAGAATCTAATCCATCTGTGCTCCCTTTAATTTGCCCACAGTTTATATTCTTTTCAGTATGGTTTTAATATCAAAACAAAATAACTGCAACAGCAGCTCACACTAATAGTCAATCCATCTCTAGCATTGTATGGGACCATCCCTACACTGGTGTTCACTTCCTGATCCCCAAAACAACAGGAAACACCCCCAATCCACCTAACATCTGAACCTAGAATGTGTCACATCATGTGTTAAACTAATTTGACTTTCATTCACTGTGCCCTATGGCAAAGTGTTTCATAGACCAATTAGGCAGCAACCAGTATGAAAGCCTTCTGCCTTTTGTTTGTTTGAAACATGCTCCCCGATGACTTCCTTCAATGTCCTTTGTTTCTTGCATTTTGGCTCAGAGCAAAGATATTTCCTGTTCACAGTAATATATTTCTGGCTCAGAGGTTGCTTCCCCCCCCCCCCAATTATAAAGTGATAAGATGTCAGACCTCAAGTTCACCTTTCTCCACATCCTGTTTAAGGCAATGACCAGTTCCTCAGGATTTATTGCACAGCACTAACAACCACAATGGAAGCACAGTGAAGACAGGAGACTCATCCTGCACCTTAATTGCACATGATTAATGTGACCGGAAAAATCACATTGTAACTTGTTTAATGCAAGACGGCAGTTGCTGGAGCCTGTTCAACAACTTCCATAGTTGGAAACTGCTATAACCCTTGAAAGACCCTGGAGAGAGAGAGAGAAATTTAATATAAAGATAAGATAGATGGATGGATGGGATTGGGTGGGGGAATGAGAAAGAGGATATTTTGTTCTCATTTGTTTGCATTCTTGAGCACTATTTGACATCCAAGAATCAGACTTCTCTCTGCAATCATGAGGACCAGAAACTTGTTTTCATAGAACCACAGGGTTGTTGGGACCACAAGGGGAATACCCAGTAGCGGAGGGGGTCCATGGGCAGGACTAGGGCTGCGGGACGCCCTCCAGCGGGATGCGGGATGAGATATGTGTGGTGCACGGCTTGCAGGGGCGCCCCAGTTGCCACCTCTCTCCTGGCCGCAGCCACCCTCCAGCAGAGGGGAGGTGGCTGGCACCTGCCACAGCTCGCCTCGCCCAATGGGTGGCTTGCCCCGCCCCCATAGGCAACTAGCCCTGTCTTGGGTGCACAGCCCCGGGTGCCCGAGCAGCTAGCTACGCTGCCGCGAGTACCCTGCCATCCTGCATCAGAGGAATGCATAAAAACAAACGCCAATCTGTGCCAATTCCCGTTTCAACAACACCAAGAACTTCTTCATATATTACAGTAGATGCAGGCATGCCTTAGTACTTTCGGATGTACCACTTTCTATCCTGAAAACATACAAAGGTAGCTACATTTCTTTTACACTGCATGCACACTTCAGAAATCTGGGCCAACCATGGCTCCCTACATCTCATTTCCAAAGCATTTAAACAGTAAAAAGATGGACAAGTGCCTCATACATTCTAGAGTAAAAAGAAAGATATGCTAAACGTTTCATGCATTGCAATATGTGGTCCTACAGGATTATATACCCCAATAGTAACAGGCACAAGAGTTTAAGCCCTGCCAAAGGGATACAGTGGTACCTCAGGTTACATATGCTTCAGGTTACAGACTCCGCTAACCCAGAAATAGTGCTTCAGGTTAAGAACTTTGCTTCAGGATGAGAACAGAAATCGTGCTCCGGAGGCGCGGCAGCAGCAGGAGGCCCCATTAGCTAAAGTGGTGCTTCAGGTAAAGAACAATTTCAGGTTAAGTACGGACCTCCGGAACGAATTAAGTACTTAACCCGAGGTCCCACTGTAATAGTTTTCCTTTAAAACTGGGGGGGGGGGACGACCTGTGGCTCTCTATATCAGGGGTCAGCAAACTTTTTCAGCTGGGGGCCAGTCCACTGTCCCTCAGACCTTGTGGGGGGCCAGACTATATTTTTTTTGGGGGGGGGGAATGAACGAATTTGTATGCCCCACAAATAACCCAGAGATGCGTTTTAAATAAAAGGGCACATCCTACTCATGTAAAAACACGCTGATTCCTGGACCTAAGGTGGGCCGGATTTAGACGGCGATTGGGCCGAACAGCCCCAGCCGGTATCATCAATGGTCAAGTACAATGGTAGTTGCAGTTCAGGAAGTTATAGGAGGGCCACAGCTTCCCCATCTCCAGTTTAAAGCATCCTTCATCAAGGAGGAGTCCGTTACTGTCTGTCATCTGTGCACACCATTTACGTTAGATTTTTAAGAAGTGGGACAACTGAAACCATACTTGGGATTTAAACTGTGAACACGCCATTGTGGCATTTCCTGTTGCCCTTCCTGCTAAACAAGATTGCCTTTCCTTTTCATTTGGTCCACAGGATAAGCTACAAAAGGCAAGTACAGTACAGAAGAGGAGAAAATGAAAAGGCATCATCACAGCCACTGCACAAAGAGCTGGAGAGTGATAAAAGGAGAAAGCCAGGCTTTGGGGCTTGGCTTCAGTTCTTTTGGAATTACTAACCTATTATTGAGCTGGTGGAAAGCTAGCTTATATAGATTCACAAGGCTGAGCAACCCAAAGTCTAACCACATTCAACTTCATACCCCAGAGCAGTGTTTCCTAACCTGTAGGCTGTGACCTGCAAGTGGGTCACAAAGCTTGTGCAAGTGGATTTAAACCTAAACCCAATATAATTATTGCTTTTAATCCTGTAAACTGGTATGATGATACCTATTACAACTTTTTCTTTTGTTGGCATATTATAATGATGTTTACATTTGTAACCGAATGTCAGAAAGGCTCAATCCATACATTTTAGAACTTGGTAACCACTCTCTGGTGGCGAATTCAGTGACAGTTTGCCAAGAGATGCTTATATAGGGAGTTATTCTGAGTGTTACAGCTCAGTTCTGATGGAAAGGCACTTGTGGAGAGCTGTCACTGAATCTGTCACGAGACTTAATCTTTTAGCCAAGGATAACTAAGTTTGCTTAGTTAAACTTTTCCCACTACTTTTCAGCTGAAGAAACACAAATGTTTGAGTGGGTGTGGAACTCATTTGCAGCTGATTTCACAAAGTCGTCATTGAATTATCATGCGATAGGAACCTCAAAGGAAAAATAATTGGAAGTGAGGTTATCTGAATATTGGATTCATGCTACCAAAATTACTCTGTTATTACCAAGTATCCTGAGCTTGCTGATGAAGCAATACAAGTGCTGATGCCATTTGATGGTACATAATTTTGCGAGACAGACTTTTCAGCAGTTATGCCTATGAAGATGAAATACAGTAGTATCAGATCAATAGTGACCTGAGACCATATTTGACAGCCATCAAACTCCACAATGACCTGTAAGCTCAGCCATCCCACTGATACTCTATATTGATACACTATAACATGAACAAAACGATTCAAGCAATTCACAGTTGATTATATCTAAACACTGCTTGTGTAACCCTATGTTCTTAGAATAATTTGCAATAGCTTATGAAGCAATATCCTGCAATCAGATGATTGGTGCTCTTACATCTCCATTAAAAAAAATCCTTAATAGCTTTGTAAATAATAGAAAATGTGGGGTATACATATACATATATATATATTACATATACGTATACATACACACACACACACACATGTATGTATGTATATGTGTATCTGTGTGCGTCTGTGCATGTATCTCTCTCACACACACAAATTCTACATTAATATTTACTTGATGCCTCAAGTCATGGTTATAACACAGGCAAATGTGAAGTTAAACATGTATGAAAATGATGGCGGCTGAAGACCTAAAGTCCAAAATTTACGCAGTAATAAATCAACTGGTCACTATGCGCAGTAAATTTCGACTTGTTGGGACTTTTAAAAAAGGTCGGGATCCGCACAGCTCGTGGGGAAGTGTGGCGATAGGGAAAAGCTTATCCATCACACACCAGATTTAACTTTTTGCCCACGTTACCCTAATTTTAGCGCACCTCAGAGAGCGGGAATAATCCAAAGATGCTGTTAACAAGATCTCCAAACTAAACCGGGTATCCATTAATTCTGTAGGGACCGTTTCCACGACCCCGCCCCTTCTTCCCTTCCTTTCTTCTGTTGTTGTTATTATTATTATTATTATCCGCGTCCCCGCATTCCCCAAAAGCCGCCGTCCCTTCCCCGCCTTGGGCAGCCTGGACGAGAGGATGGCTTCGCTCCCTGGGCTGGGCTCCCTCTTTCCCCGGTGTGGAAGTGAGGGGACGGGCAGGGAAGGGGAGCCTGACCCACTCTGCCCTCTCCCCACTCACGTACGTGCAATCCTGGTTGTAGGAGAAGCAGCTGAGCGCCTCCGGCTCCCCTTCTCCGCCGGCGGCCTCCATGGACGGAGGTCGCGCCGAAGCCCCGGCCTCGATTTCTGCCCCTCGCCGGGGTTCGGCGTCTATCTCCCCCGCCGGACTTAAGTCTTCCCGCCCCCCACTCCGCAGTCACAGCTCCGCGGCAGAAGCGACAGCAGCAACAACAAGCCTCGCAGTGACCGCCGGCCTGAGGGAGGCGCCATCTTCCCGGCCGGGCTTTCCTATTGGGCGGCGAAGGTTCGGAAGGGCCGCCTTTAGCCCCGCCCCCCGCGTCCGACGGGTTGGGAAGCCCTCGGTCGCAAGCCGGGGCTCCGGAGCTCTCTGGCCGCGCCCATGACGCCAACAGGGCCGGCAGCGATTGGCCGGCGAGGTGGAAACAGCTGACGGTAGCCACGTGGTTGTGTTGTGGTGGTTGCATCAGCCTGGAAGGGTGTCAGAAGTGGGCGGCAGGTGATCCGCCGAGCGATGAGCTGGCGGCAGCTGCAGCTGCAGGCTCCCCGGGGCGCCGCCCTTTTCCCGGGGCCCGCTTCAGCTCTCCACGCTGCATTCTTTTGTTTCTGCTTTAAACGGATTATTTCTAATTACGGCTCTGGGTTTTTGTAAACGGGAAGCCCGTTACCTCCTTGATTTGGGCGGAATGACTACTGTAGAATAAACCATTTAACTATTACTGTACAACCTAATGACGCTTTATGCTTTAGTTTCTCTACTTTTTTCTCCTCCCTCTTCCTTTCGTTTGCACTTTTATTATTAATAAAAATAATTTATTATTTATATGCCAACCCTCTTAACTGGGTTAATCCGGTCGCTCTGGGCAGCTTCCAAGTCAAAACACAGTGAGACAACGAACTTTTAAAACTTTTGTTGTTGTCAATAAACCAATTAAAAACAATTAATTGCAACCAAAGGCTACAATCCAGTACATCCTTACCTAGGAGTGCATCCAGTTCAGCACAGTGTTCCTTACAGTAGTGGTGCTGTGGTCTAAGCCCCTGAGCCTCTTGGGCTTTTACTGATCCGAAGGTTGGCAGTTCGAAACTGCATGACAGGGTGAGCTCCGGTTGCTTTGTCCCAGCTTCTGCCAACCTAGCAGTTCGAAAGCATACCGGTGCAAGCTGTACCGCTGCAACTGAAAGGTAAATGGTGTTTCCGTATGCTCTGGCACTCGTCACAGTGTTCCGTTGCGCCAGAAGCGGTTTAGTCATGCTGGCCACATGACCAGGAAGGCTGTCTGTGGACAAATGCAGGCTCGCTTGGCCTGAAAAGCAAGATGAGTGCCACACCTCATAGTCTCCTTTGACTGGACTTAACTGTCCAGGGGTCATTTACCTTTTACCTTTACTTACTTATACTACTGTTGTGGGCATAAATAAAACCACTATAGATAAATTACAGAATGGTGCTAGCATTAATGGTCTGTTATGGTGAAGCAAAGAGTCCTGTGGCTCCTTAGATACATCAACAGTGGCATAAGCTTTCATTGATATCAAGATGCACAAATTGTAATCTTCCTGCATCTCGACTCCGGATTCGAACTGCTGGCCTTCTGATCGGCAAGCCCAAGAGGCTCAGTGGTTTAGACCACAGCACCACCCATGTCAGGCTTACATATAGTGACTCCTCCAAGCCTCCCTGCACATTTGCTACTCCAGCTGGAGTGATTGCACTGGCACAGCTATTGTTAAGACTGCAGCCTTGATCTGGGGGTAAGGTTATGTACTATGTAGTAATACGAAAAAGGGCATTCATTTTACTGTCTACAGAAACAACAGTCATTGTTCAGCAGGTGCCAAAATAGGTGGGAACACTGCTTCACAGCACACATCGATGAATTTAATAATAATAATATTTTATTTATATCCCGCCCTCCCCATCCGAAGCCGGGCTCAGAGCGGCTATTTAGTAACAGTGACCAGAGATTCAAGTGGACTGGCCCACTCATGGAACGAACATGGATTCAAAGTACACACACACACACGGAACTGCATTGTTAACCTTCACAAAAAGTGAGTCTGTGTTCGTCCAATGAGCAGTCATAGGGCAAATATGCATAGGATGGGATTACTTCCAGGTAATGTGAACAGGGTTGCAGCTGCAATTTTGTGCACGTTTATCTAAGAGCAACCGAACTTAGCAGAACTTACTTCTAAGCCAGCATGCATCAATTTAGACTGCACACTACCTAAACATAGTAAATGAGACTTAAAGCAAAGGTTGAAAGCCTGGCTTTGGCAACAGGTATTTCCCTCCCCGCCCCCCCCCCGCCCCCATGAGTTATGTTTATGAGTGAAGTTAAGTGATTTACAGTGAATCCTGTCTGGGGCTGAAGGGAGCTGGACTTCAGCAACAACTGGAGGACCACAGATCCATCTAGCTATCTAGCTATCATAATCAGGGCACATCAGAGGTAGAAGCATGTAAAGACGAAGAAATGTGAACTACCAAACTGCTGTTTAAATAATTCTGAATAAATTCTGCAAACTGGCATAATATTTAATGTGTTTACTAGGCCTTAACTACAAAAATTTGTAGAGTGAAGGTGTGGGGAAGCAGAAGAGGAAAGAAAATTTGAAATCCATTTCCTAATTGTTCTTTGGCCATAAACTTGGCAAAGACCAAGGGTAGACTGGGGCCAAGTTCTGAAAAGCAGCCAATGAGATGGTAAATTTGTGCCTGGGCTTTACCATCTCAGGCGGCAAGCAGGTATTCATATTTTATTCCATAAAAAAATATATCCCTGCACACAGAAAACTAGTATCAAGGAGAAGGGTTGTTGCCCAGCCTTCTTCCCGTTGTGCTAATTTTCAATGTATGGGAATCTTTTCCCTATAACTCGATGGACCGGTCACCTGGCTCCATATAATGCAACTTCCTATGTCCTCATTTGTAGACTAGAGTGGCACAAACGACAGGTTTCATCACTTCATCTGCTGCCTGTTAGAACTTGGTGTTAGATTCAGGAGGCAATGGGTTGCAAAGGAGCCATGCAAACTGAACCTGCAGAAATCCCATCTTCTACACAATAACTAAGGCCTTTTGTGCCATCCTCCGGGGCCATGCTACATGTGATGTGCAGTTTCAAGGTCAATTCCAGTGCGTAGCATCCTTGGGCACCTGCTGAGGCCAACCTGCTAACCCCCCACTGGGCTCTGGGCTCTGCTCCTCCTCCACCTTGCGGTTGAAAATTGTTCATTTGCCATCTCTGAGCTGGCAAGCAGTGACCTAGAGGAGATCGTCTTGTGCTCACCCCATGGGCAGTTGTGGCTTTCCTCCCCATATACAGTGGTACCTCAGGTTACAAACACTTCGGGGTACAAACACTTTGGGTTATGGACGCCGCTAACCCGGAAGTAGTATTTGGGTTAAGAACTTTACTTCAGGATGAGAACAGAAATTGCGCGGGGGTGGCAGTGGAAGGCCCCATTAGCTAAAGTGGTACCTCAGGTTAAGAAAGGTTTCAGGTTAAGAATGGACCTCCAGAACGAATTAAGTTCGTAACCAGAGGTACCACTACACACACACACACACACACACACACACACTAAAGTTCAAAAGTTTACAAATTTAATACACAATATATTTTCCAATTATGATTCATTTATCATTCAACTTCCACCCCCCCCCCCGTAATTTCCCCATATTTTCTAGTATTGCTGCATATTATAAGTATACCCTATCTATTCCGCTTGTTCTCAGATACATGCTTTGCTGCTGTTATTCATTCAAATCCTACTTGCATTTTTACATGTTTTACAATAAGTCTTTAGATATATTCTACAAAAGATTTCCAATCCTGCTTAAAAACCGCCTCTCCTTGACCTCTAATTTTCATGGTTAAGACTGCCAATTCGTTATACTGTATTCCATCACTCCTCCAGATATTTTAAATTTAACTGAAAGCAGCAGGTAGGGATGAAATCAGGAGCTAATAATAATAATAATAATAATAATAATAATAATAATAATAATAATAATAATTTGTTATTTATACCCCGCCCATCCATCTGGCTGAGTTTCCCCAGGACCACCACCCCTGCTTTCCTGCTCCTGATTTTAGCTTCCTGCAGCATGAATTTGTAAAATAAACAGGAGTTGTTGTTTTTTATTTTATTCGCTCAGCTGCCACATGGGGGTGTAGTATAGTCCTGAACAGACATAACATATGTCAAGCCTCATTCTTGTTGCAACCAGGTTTGAGGGGCTACTACGGAGTGACCCCAGATTCACACAACTACCCACTGTTGACGCAAGATTCTGGATTCCCAAAGTATCTCTGTGTTTAATTTATGGAACCTCTGACCGAAGATCCAGCACAACGTCCATTCTGTGATATGAACTTCTGGTACATTATAGGTGGTATTCAACTAAGTTTGACTTGGAATAGATAGACCTACCAAAGTGAATGGCCTTAACTTACTCGTGTTCATGGATTGAAATGGGTCTACGATGAGTAAACCTTGGTTGAATACCACCCAAAAATGCCAGGAAATCCAGATTTCCCACCAATCATACACTTCTTCGAGAGCTACAACCAATCCCAACACTAGCAAATACACCAGTGGTTTTCAACTAGTGTTCCATGGCACCCTAGGGTGCCTTGAATTATAGTCCAGGGTGCAACACTGGCCTCTTTCATTCTTTCCTTTCCTCCCTTCATCTGATGTCCTCTCCCATCTCTGCCTCCCAAAGGCTTGCACAGTTGTTTGTTGCAGCAGCCCTGGCTATAAGCTCCCCAGGCGAATGTTGCCTCTGGGGCTGGCCAGGGGGTGCTTCCCAGGCCCTTGTGGGGCAGTGTGAGGAGGCACCTCTCGGTGGGACAGGGTGGGCAACTCAGAGACCAGGGTGGCAGCAGTGGCTGCCTGGAGGACTTCTAAGGAGAGGAGAGGGGAGAGGAGACTGAGGAACACTCCAGAAGGGAGGGTGTTCGAAAAAGGGTGAAAGGCTGCCAGTTCTGCAGGCAAGGGGTGAAGTAACTGGGCTCCTGAGCCCGACAGGGGTGCCGCAGAAAGAATGTAGTTGGTCAAGGGAGCCGTGGACCCAAAAAGGTTGAAAATCTCTGCTCTACACATTTGTAACATTCTCACTTCATATTTTTCACTGTATACTTAAAAATCTTAGGGGTAAACCTAAAGACGTGTAATGTGGAAAATTTCATCTGAGTTGGCATCATAAATTGTCAGTGGATCCATCAAAAAGAGCTGTTGCTACATTAAAAATAAGTAATTAATGCTGCCATCTAGTGACAACGTGGCCT